CCTACAGAATTTAAGTTCGGAGTCCACAATACAAGCTGCAAGAATGAACAGTGCATCAATCAACCTTGAGGTCATGGATAAAGCCACGCAGGATGGAGAGGTGACATATGTCTCTGGGCATCTCTCACTGAAACTTGGAAATCTCCAGACTAAATTCCATCAGCAGCCTGAAGAAAGAAAATGTGCTAGAAATAGGAAATATTACCTCCAGACATAGTTTACCCCAGCTAAGCCACTGAGTAACAGAATTCAGTGATTCTCAAACTGTGATCCTGGAATCCAGGAGGAGCCCCAAAAATCTTTCAGGCAGTCCATGAGTTCAGATTATTTGGTTAATAATGTAAACCCTTGGTATGATCATTAACTTTTTTATTCTCATTCTCTCACAGTGTCTGGTAGAAAAATTCCTAGAAACTATCCTACAGTAATAATATCAATATTCTGACGACTAATGGAATGTGTGTTTGTGTATTAGAGGGTTTTTAATCTTCTCTGTATTTTTTGTTTGTTTTTGTTTTTGCCAAAGGGTATGTGCACTTGTCAGAGAGAAAGACAAAGCAGGAAAGTGAGATATCACCCCCAACCCTCAGGAGGCATGGCCAACCCACAATCCTCCCTCCTTCACTCTCTTCTCAGGATTTTAGGCATGCATGCACACTCACTTGATTTTCAAGCTGCCAGGCCTGGGACTTGAACTGCAGTCAGCCATGTGGGAATCCAGGACCTTAATGACCACACCACCTGCTGACCCATCCTTCTTAGTTTTAATTATTAATATGATAAACATTTGAAGAGATCATTTCTTTAAGTAGAAGTTTAGACATGAGTACTAGAGCAAAACTTTTGAGATTGGGTAGGGCAGTTAAATAAATATTAGTAACAGACCTTCTGCCAAGATTGGACCTGGAATCATTTCTTCCCAGTGGTATGAAAAGCAGCTTTCACTCCTAAGTTCAAGTTGAAGAAATTACTTTCTAAACACAACAAAATATTTGCATGGATAATATGGTTGGAAAGCAGGATATAGCCAAGTGCCCTTATAGATCTCTGTAAGGACCCAATTTTTAAAAAAATTCAAATTGTCCTATCTCTCCATTCAACAATACACCATTACTCTAACGTATTCCAGCATAGGCTCCTTCCTCATTTTAGTCTGACATACCATTTCTGCTCACAGGAAGCAAGCCCAGAGGAAGCTCTCTAGTCACAAAAATAAATAAAATAGTGCAACTACAGGAGAAAATACTAATTCTCTTAGTGCTGCTCTCATAAAAAAGCACAACAATTAAATAAACAAATATTCTATAACTGTAAATAATATTTTTGGGGGGAGAGGTTTTTGCTATAGGGCACATGCGCTGACCAGACAGAGAGACAGAGAGACAGAAAGCGAGAAATCACCCCTCAGGGGGGATGGCCACACCACAATCCCTTCTCCTCTATTCTCCTCTTGGGATCTTGGGCACACATGCACATGCACCAGCGTGAGTTTTAAGCCACAGGGTCTGGGATGCTAACCGAGGTCGACTATATGGGAGTCCAGTGACATAGCCATTACGCTAACTGCTGGTCCCAACTGTAAATAATATTAATGAAAGTCTTTTCTGCAAACCACGAGAACAACCGTTTCAGTCAAAAAGTAAACCCGTAGGCTGAGAACAAAAACAATTGTTTATAATTATTTAGTATCTTAATAACAACATTACAACATGAACTGAAGGCATCTTATACTCAGGAAAAAATTAATGGACATCTCCAAACAGAAGCAATCAAAGAATAAAAAGTTATTATAAATTAAAATGTAATTCCTGTAAGTAAAACTTCAACAGAATATCTGGGAAGGGAATGCATCCATAAGTGACCAGTAATTGAAAAATTTAACATTCTCTCAGATGGTTCAGCAAAAAATAAGAGCGATATAAAAATGTAATAAAAAAGTTTGGAGATAAACAGCACAAAGCTGAACATTTGAACACCCATATAGTAGGAATTCCAATAGGAAGAAGCAGAGGGAAATTAGGATAGTAAACAACTATTAGTATTAAAATACTAATGACTTGAACTAGTCTTCCTATCTAGATAGTCTGCCAAATGCCAAGGAGGGAAAATAATTATTTTAAGCTTGTTTCTTTATTTATTTTATGTGAGAGAAAGATAGATATGCTTTATGGGGGTCTCATTACACCTTCCAACCAGCAAGGGTCATGAGTGTCCCCACAGGCATTTGCAGGTCTACTTGGGATCCAAACCCATAGCCTTTCCATGTGGCTCCAGTAGCACTCAGTGGCACCCTACCAACTGGGCCATTGCAACAGGGACCAAGCAGGAAATTATCTTAAAGACACACATGTCTAGATATATACTAATATTTTGCAACAAATAAGAAAATTCATTTTTCCCAAATAATAATATTGCATAAAAAGAGCTTACTTCCAAATCAGTAGGAATAGAACAGGCATAAGAAGTCTCATTAATAACATTTGATACCAAGTTACTTGCAAAGTAGCAAAACCTTTGTTTTTTTCAAATGTTTGACTATCATTGATCCTAGAATCATATGTGACAAAATGTCAAATATAAGAACAAAATACAAATCATTTTACACATGCAAGAACCCAAGAAGCTTATTTTCCTCCTATTCTAAAATAACTTTAAAAATCTATAAAATGAGTTGTTAAGATCTTCAATTTCCTAATCAATAAAGTTCTAGATGGTTTCAAATGGGACATTTTTGCTTGGGCCATTTGCTAACAAAATGACTGAAAAATCAACCATAACAGAAAGACACATATGTGAATACCCAAAAACTGACAAGCAGGAGGACTGAGGAAGGGGATCATGACTTGAACAGATCCCATGACTGGTTGCATCTCTCTCACTTTCATGGATGCATGCACATGCTCTATAATAATAAAAAAAAAAAATTAAGAGCTACAAAAATAAAAAAGACATGACAAAGATCAAAAGGTCAAAGATCTCATCTCAATCTAACCCAGGAGTGCAAGGACAAATATGTCATTCAGCTGGGGCAGCAGCTGCAAGAGTTGACAGGTTCACATAATGTCATAATATTTGAGAACTCCAAGATTCTGTGAAGTGACTTATGACCCTGTACAATTTCACTGCATAATTGATGAGAAGTGTCCTTAATGATCTTATATTCAATAATTTATCTTCTAGTGTAGATATATGAAACAAATAAACCACTGTGTGTCAGTCAGGGGACCTGTGATATACGGAAACAACTCCACCACTTTACCAAACCAACAGGACCGTGAGTGTTTTACCATTAATATCTCATGGTAAATGTTCACTGTGACTCTGCTGGGAGTTTTGCTCTAGCTTTCACCCACATGTCCAAGCCAATTAGGCTTTACCACTGGGCTTCTGTAGTTGCTGA